TCCGACAGACCCCCGAGCAGCGGATTTCCCCGAGAGGTAAATCAAGTAAACTTTTTTCAATGAAAACGAACGCGTGCGGAGAAGCAAGTGGCTGTGGAAGCAACACTTGAGCCCACAAGAAGTCAACTCGAAAATGCATGAGCCAGAATACAACGACTTGATGGCTTTGAACAACATTGTGATCCTTGCCACAGTTGCCGAAAAGCCCAAGCCGTGCTCCCGATCTAGAGTGGTCTGTCAGAGAGTGCTGGAATACGCCGTCGTGGCCGCAGTAGTCGCAGCAATCGAATACGGTTTTACCGCACACAACAGCCGGGACGGCGTAAAAAGCTATTTGGCCGTCAACGGCTCCGCCCCTAGCAACGGCACTGTCCCCGTGCCCCAGGGCCTACACCAAGTGTTGACGACCGAGGCTCCGAATCTCGTGAACCGTCTACCTATGGGTCAGTGGGTGAAGCAGGAGTCGTATCGCGCGCCGAACGCCGTGTGCGTGGATATGTTTTATAACCGGGCGAAGACAGACGTAAAAGTTCGAGAACTTATGTTGACGGACCACGAGCTTTGCGGCAGGGAGAATAATGGTACTCTGATGTGTCAAAACTTGATGGTACGCAACCCCCAGTGAGACATGATTGATAGAATCTTTGATCGTGAAAAAGGCGACAAGGAATGTATGAATGATTGACTTCTAGGTTCTTGGGTAGGGGAACAACAACCCTGATGCGTCTGATGTGCCATGCACGATGCCCCGTATGTGATGGCCCATATGCGAAGCATATGTGATGGCCCACGGTTACCAGCCGTAAGCATATGACTGGCTCACTGTTATGAAGAGTTCGATATGACGACACACCATGGTCAATTGACGTAGGGGGGGGCAGAATTGAGTCAATGGCCGCAGACCGGAACTTGGTGGGCGGCGACATACGCATCTTCATTTCATTTCTGCATATCGCGTGGCCGTTTGCGGTGTTGGTCGTACGCACTTTAAGTTAGCGAGTCGACGTAAAGCCTTACGCTCGTAAAGCCTTACGCTCGTAAAGCCTTACGCTCCCATAAGGCGTGGTATTAATAGGTGGTGGTTTTCAGTCTTAAGAATTTCGAAACAAGCAATGTTCGAGGGCCAGCACACACGATAATGTCGGTGGTCACACCCGGCAGGTATCGTCCGAGATGCCAGTGCCACAAAGAAAAACCCTGTCCTGGTGCCAAACCCCGTTGGCGACTGTAACGGGTTCTTTCGTTTCTGAGAAGCTGGTCAATCAATTTTTTTTTTTAAAGGAGAATCAATGAAGACGAATGTGTGCGGAGAATCGAGCGGCCTGAAATTAAGCGGGCTACTGTCTGTGATGTATACTGATGGAGGTGAGCGGACTAGCGTGCAAGGCTGCGACGCGAAGGTGGCAGTAATTGACGGCCTTAAGAGCGGTCGGCTGCTGGAGGTTCTGGTCGTGGCGGACCCGAAGGACCTTGCGAAGCCGGGTAAGCTGTTCGACCTTGCACAAGATAGTGTGCGACTAATAGTACTGCCGCCCAAAGACCTCGACGAGTACCTGGGCAAAGTTCCGGTGTTGGAGTCCGAGCGTGGACAGAAGAACAACAAGTTGGACGGACGGGCGGCAGTGCTTGAGGCGCGGGCGGCTGAGTACCGACGTGCCGTGGACGTTTTGGCGACCAGCGTTTGGCGCGGTTTGGTGGCACCCAAGAACCGATTGTACGCATTGGACAAACCAGTCGCCGACCAAATTTACGAAGACATTATGCCAAGAAGAATGGCCCCGGCGCAACCCGTAGAGGGCACTGCGCGACCCTTTATTAAGGACTGGCGACCGATCACTGAGGAGGACTACAACTTGCTCCGGAAGCAACACTTCGAGTGCCCAGAACGCAACTTAGAGGTGGACGGCGATTTAGCCGCATTGAACAGGATTACGATCCGCTCTACAGTTCCCGGAAAAACCAAGTCGCGCATGTGGCCCCTCGTCGTCGGCCAGAGACTGTTGGAATATGCCGTCGTGTTTGTTGCGGTCGCGGGCCTCCAGCACTGGCTATGCACAAGCAGCTATTGGGATGACGTAAGGGGCTCTGTCACCACTGGCAACGGCGGCGCCGACGGCGGTAGGGCCGAACTAACTAATGGGACCATGGCCCAAGCTTTGCAGCAAGTGGGAACGACCAAGGGTCCAAGTTTGTTAACCAAAATATTCAACAGCTGGAACACCATGATAGGGGACCACGTTCGCGACGTTGCCAGCATCAAAGAGATCCCCCCTCTCCCTCTGGGCAGGTATGCGAACCATGATTTATACGATAGATACGGTGTATTTGTGGACCCTAAAACGAAAACTGACCTGCAATCCTTCCGCGCTCCACGTGAAAGGTGTGCGAACATGATAAACGAGCCGGCTGCTACGACGGACATCAATCTCCAGGGAAAACTTCTCAAGACGGACTACAATCTTTGCGGGTCCAACGTGAACGGCACCTTGGTCTGTCGCGACTTGAAAATTCGAAACCCACAGTGTTTCCAATTTGTCTCCGGCCAGCCTGATGATCCACGCGGTCTCTTCTCCTTATGGGACATGATGGATAGAATCTTTGTTCTCAAAGGAGATGAATGTTTTCTTCGGTGCGATGACCCCGAGAGAGTCAAAAGTAATCTGCTGGATCGGAAGGTGATTGCCCGTAGATCCGACATACGTCCGGCTGACGAGATGCAACTGTACCGGACAGCACCAGCGTGGAAAATCATGGGGAACGACACCTCTACGCAGACCACCCCGAACTCTACGGAGACCACCGCTAACTCTACGCTTGCCGCTAACTCTACGCAAACCACCCCGAGCTCTACGCAAACCACCCCGAGCTCTACGCAAACCACCCCTTACTCTACGCAGACCACCCCGAACTCTACGCTTGCCGCTAACTCTACGCAGGCCCCTTACTCTACGCAAACCACCCCGTACCCTACGCAGACCACCCCGTACCCCACGGAGACCACCCCGAGTTCTACGCAGACCACCCCGTACTCTACGCAGTCCACCCCGTACTCTACGCAGAACACCCCGAACTCTACGCTGACCGCTAACTCGACGCAGACCCCGTACTCTACGCAGACCGCCCCGAGCTCTACGCATTCCATGGACTTGATGAACCGTCTGCCTATGGGTCAGTGGGTGAAGCAAGATTCGTTGAATAAGTACGGTTTGTTCATAGACCCTAAGACGGGAATTGACCTGCAGTCGTATCGCGCGCCGTGGGACAAATGCCAGGAGATGATAGGGCAACGGAACGATATGGACAACCGGGTCGACGAACTTTTGCCGACTGACCATGAGCTGTGCGGCAGAGAGAACGGTACTTTGAAGTGTCAAAACTTGAGGGTGCGCAACCCCCAGTGTTTCCAGTTTGTGTCCGGAGACGCGAACGATCCACGCGGTCTATATTTCTTGTGGGACATGATTGATAGGATCTTTCACCTCGTAGGCAAAGAGGACTGTGTCATTCGCTGCGACCATGCCGACGCAATGAAGGACAGACTGGTAGAGGCGGCCAGGATGAGAGTCAAACCGACGGTTGTAGATTACTCGGAGACTGGTGACTACACGGAGGCCCCTGCCATCAGGCAGGGCCCTTACTACACTGGGAACTACCCGGAGACCACCCCGAATTCTACGCAGACCACCCCGCACTCTACACAGACGACCGCCAACTCTACACAGACGACCGCGAACTCTACGCAAACCGCGGAGGCAATAGCGAGGGATTTCGTGACGAAGGCTGTTGGAATGGCAGCGAAGGCTATTCGTGATGAGTTGGAGATGGCAGCAGAGATGACCAAGGGTACCGGTTTGGATAGGTACCGTTCTTCCAACGATAAGTGTGAGGACATAGACTTTAACCCTCAGCCGACGGACATTTTGATGCAGGGTCCTGGCCATACGTTGAGGTTGGACACGGACCCTTGTGGTAGTGGGAATAACGCCACCTTGCTGGCTCGCGGTCTTGGAGGAATACGGAGCTCCCAGTGTTTCGACTTCATTTCCGATGATGCCTGGAACTCAGGTACTCCTCTAGTGAAAGACGGCACCTTCTTTTCGTTGTGGTTCAAGCTAGGTCAAGTCTTTGGCCGCACAGGTCGGGAAGAGTATATTGTGAGATGTCACGATACAGATAAGATGAGAGACAAATTGCTCATGGCAGCCTCCCGAGATAACCGTGTAGAAACGCTTTACGACACCACTGGTCTCGGCGTTGCTCGGACCCCGGAGGCTCTTGAACGTTTCGTTCAAATAGTTAAGAGCAAGTACCCGCCCACAATTGTCGCTGACAGAAAAGAAGAACTTAGTGACATCTGGTTCAACGCGCCTTGTGGAACCGGCGTTTGGACTACCCAGGATGATTACCCCAACTGCGTGTGTCAACAACTTAGCGTTACTTGCGAAATGGCCGACCGCCAACACGTCAGACTCGATACTGTCTTCGACGCTGAATATGACGACCCGTCCGAGAGCGTACGCGGACGCGTCTTCAGAGACCACATTCTCCCCATATCCGATATGCCAGGAATGCAAATCAAACGCTGTCTCTACCAATGCCTCACCAAGATACTTTTTGATTAACTATAATGTTGATTAACCAACCGTCCAACAACCGCAAACAACCAGCGGTGTGTACATACGGACCGAAGAAGGTCTATACGGACCGAAGAAGGTCTATACGGACCGAAGAAGGTCTATACGGACCGAAGAAGGTCTATACGGACCGAAGAAGGTCTATACGGACCGAAGAAGGTCTGCCCATGTCTTTTTCCCGCCAACCGTCTTTGCGGCCTTATGTCACGCCGTCGGCCACAGGCAAAAGTACTGGTTGCCGGAGAAGAGGTTCGCACCGCCGGCTTTCATGCTCTAAGAGACGCTTTCATGCTAACGGATTTTTTTCCGTTTTTGGGTGGCCAATCAAATCGGGGATTTTTTTAAACAGGGAATCAATGAAGACGAACGTGTGCGGAGCAACGAACGGCCTGAAACTAAGTGGGCTCCTGTCGGTGTTGTACACAGACACAGGTGAGCAGACGAGCGTGAAAGGCTGCGACGCGAAGGTGGCAATAATTGATGGCCTTGGGAGCCGCGGGTTGCTGGAGGTTTTGGTCGTGGCTGACAAGGACGATTTTGAGAAGCCTCGTAAGAAGTTCGATCTCGTGCACGACAGCGTCCGACTGCTAGTGTTGCCGCCCAAAGACCTCGACGGGTGCCTGGGCGATGCTTCCGAGTTCATGTTTGAAGATGAGTGCCGACAAAAAAAGAAGAGCAGTAAGAAGAGCAGTAAGAAGAGCAGGAGCGAGTTGGACGAACGGGTGGCGCTGATTGAGACCCAGGCAGCTGACTTCCACCGTGCCGTGGACTCTCTGGCGACCAGCATTTGGCACGGCTTGGTGTCGCCCAAGAACCGACTGGACCGGCCAGTCGCCGACCGAATCTACGAGGACATTGTGCCGAGGACTATGGCGCCTGCGCGACCCCTGGAGGGCACTAGGCGGCCCTTTATTAAGAAGTGGCGGCCGGTAACTGAAGAGGATTATGACTTGTTGTGGAAGGATCACTTCAGCCTTGGAGAACAAACCTCGGAGCCAGAATACGACGACTTGAACAAAATTGTATTCCGAGCGGCAAGTCCTGAGAAGGCAGGAACGCGTTCCCTGTCCGCCGTGTTGTGCCAGAGAGGGCTCGAATACATGGTAATCGGAGCTATAGCCGTGGCCTTGCGCTGGGCCTTTTGCACAGATAGCGAGTGCACCAACGTGCAGAGGTACTGGAAGGGCTCCGCCGCTGGCAACGGCTCCGCCGTTGCCAACGGCACGGCCCCGGTGGCCGACGGCCTGGTGCAGGCTCTCGACTCTTCAGGCAACTTGGGCATTGTCATCAGCAACTTCCGCGACGCTGCAAAAGAAATCGCGGCGGTCGCTAACATCTCGCAGACGGGTACTGGTGCGCAATACGTGGAGCTTCCTCAGTTTTCGTTCGACATGGCGAAGAGTGCCCTTGTCGAGGCAGCAAAGACGATCTGCGAGAGGTTGACTCCGGCTTGGGACCCGGAGGCTATGGCAACGCGTGGTGATCCTACGGTTGTCCCTCAGACTGGCTTCGGCTGTGGTCCTAGGAGCCGTCCGCAGGCCAGCTTTGCATGGTTGAACAGGCCGGGTGCATACGTCGATTCCGGGACGGGATGGGACCTGCAGTGGTACCGATCGCCCTTGACAAAATGTGTACAAATGGAGTTCAACCCGGAAAGAAGCGACTTATGGGTAGGCCCTCTCACACCGGATTCATGGGTGAACAACTGGGCCGTTTGTGGCTGGCCGGGCAACGCGACCTTGATGTGTCGCGACTTGGGAGTAAGCAATCCACAGTGTTTTGAGTTCGCTTCCTGGAACGAGGGCCCCCTTGGTCTCCGCTTTCTGATAGGCATGATCAATCGAATCTTTCACCCCACTGGCGACGAGGATTGTATTCTTCGTTGTCAACCTTCGGACAAAGAAGATGTCCGCGCCAGTCGGCTCGCCGAAGCCCAACGACGGGTGTCGGACAGAGAATTTGAAGCCAGCCGACCTGTCTTGGACGGTGATGGGTGCAGCTCGGAGAGGCTACAGCGTTTCGTGGAAGCAGTCAAAGAAAATGATGCAGCAAAATACGCAGAAGTTTATTCCAGCAAATCCCTACCCTTCCACCACGACGAACTTAGCCCATTCTGGTTCAAGGCGCCCTGCGGTAGTGGCATGTGGGTACCCGGAGAGCCACGACCCACGTGTACCTGTCCAAAGCTTCGTATAACGTGCGAAATGTCGAGGAAGCCAGACCAGACCTTTGAGTTATTGAATTCCAACCGCACCACCAGTCAGGACGCTTTCACTGCAATCTCTTCATGGGTCTTACCGGAGATGCGACCCGAACGCTGCTTCTACCAATGCCTCACTCCGGTCTTTTCCAATTCGACTGCCGAGTAACCTACATTCAGGTTTACTTTGCGTCTAAGACTTACGTACGGCTCAGCTTTTTTTTTCAGACACAACAGCGTGGCGCGTCGCACACACGCGCAGCAATCGCTCTTTGTTTCGTGGGTCGCGGGACGCAATCCAGCTCGTAATCCTGCTGTGGGCTCAATTGGCCTGTGAAGTGTGGTACCGGGGAAGATACTGGGTAAGTGGAAGCCGTTCGAACCAGCGGCGGGAGAGCACCCGTCTGAGGCACCTGGGATGAACTTTTCGATGCGGGTGGGGACAAAAGCTGCAGAGCAGACATACCCGCGGCGGACAGCGCATGACGGACGTCCGAAAGACGCAGGAAAGCCCAGCCGGTAAGCATGCTGCCGTGGCTATATTTTAGTCGCCATGAAAACTGGACCAATGCACGCGGAAGCCCGCTTGGTGTTTTACCCAATGATCCTAACTGGTCGGTGGCTCCACTCATCTTGTTGCCACTTCTTGTGACAGTGCAGACGAGGTGGCGGCTATGCAGAAACAGCGAGAGAGCGGGATTGTATTCAGCACCCACCGAATGGAGGAGCAAACATTATAACCCGACTACAACATTGGTACGAAACACTCCGTCTCATAAGCTCTACAAACAACACCGGGGGTAACAACTCCCACCCGACCGGGGGTGAAGAATATCGGTATAGCGGCATCGTAACTGTGGTCATCGAAAAAGAGTTGTTCGCCAAAACGGGGCGCACGGCACAAGCCGGCCATTCACCTGCCCAATTTCAGCTGGTCTGCTGGAAGGATTTGTTGGTGTCCGAGCAGCTCGGCCGTTTGAGCGGTCAATCAAATTTTTTTTGGGAGGTGTTTAAATGAAAACGAACGTGTGCGGAGAATCGACTGGCCTGAAGTTAAGTGGGCTGTTGTCTGTGTTGTATACTGACGGGGGCGACCAAACGAGCGTTCAGGGGTGCACTGCAAAGGTGGCTGTGATTGGCGGTATTGGGAGCAGCCTAGAGGTTCTGGTCATGGCGGACCCGAAGGACCTTGCAAAATCGCGTTCCAAGTTCGACCTGGCGCACGACAGCGTGCGACTGCTGGTGCTGCCGCCCAAAGGCCTGGACGAGTGTCTGGGTGATGTTTTCATGCCTGAGCGTGAACAGAAGGACAACAAGAAGAGCTATAGCGAGCTGGACGAGCGGGCGGCGCTGATCGAGACGCGGGCGGCTGACTACTACCGCGCTGTGGACTCCTTTGCAACCAGCATTTGGCACGGCTTGGTGGCCCCCGAGAATCCACTGGACGCGTTGGACAAGTGTGTCGCCGACCAAATTTATGAAGACATTATGCCGAGGACTATGGCACGGGCACAAGCCGTAGAAACTGCTCCACGACCGTTTGTCAAAGAGTGGCGGTCGGTCACTGACGCCGACTGCGACCTGCTACGGAAGCAGTATTTCGGTCACCCCCGAGATTCGAAAATGCACGAGGCAGAATACCACGAGTTACAAAAATTAACAATACGAGCCATGGCTCCCGATGCTAGCCCCAGGTCCCGCGTGATCGGTCAGAGACTGCTGGAATGGGCCTTCGTGGCTATTACAGTCGCGGCCATTCAATGGTTTGTCACCGACAGTTTCTGGGACGACGTAAAGGGTTGTTCCGTGGTTACCGACGGCACGGCTGTGGGCAATGACCCGGCTGTGGGCAATGACCCGGCTGGCAAATCCGCAACGGCGCAACAACTGCAGCAAGCTCTATCGACCGAGGCTCCAGACTTCTGGCAGAGGATGATGAACAGATTCAGCCGAGTGGCGAGTAGTGCCATACGGAAGCAGGATACACCCACGGCGAGCCATGTGGGAGATTTGCCTGTGGGTGAACTGGTCAGCTTTTCTTTATTGAATAAGACGGGTGTATTCGTCGATAGCAAGACAAAAACTGACTTGCAGTGGTACCGTGCGTCATTTGACAAGTGCACGGACATGTTCTACGAACCGGAGCCGACGGACGTTATGATTCCGACTCGACGACTTAAGCCCTCGGACCATGACCTTTGCGGTCAAAGGAATAACGGCACCTTGATGTGTCGCAACTTGAGAGTTCGTAATCCCCAGTGTTTCAACTTCGTGTCCGGCGAGGCGAATAGTCCACGCGGTCTCAATTTCTTGTGGGACGTGATTGATAGAATCTTTCATTTTACAGGTAAGGAAGAATGCGTCATCCGTTGCGACAATGCTGACCGAATGAAATACAAGTTGCTCAAGGCTGCAAAACAGGCCCTGTCCGAGATCCCGACAACCACGGCAGCACCAGCGACCACGTTGTCTCCGTTTGATGAGCTACCTGTGGGTCAGTTGGTGGACTATGCTTTATTGAATAGAACGGGGGTATTTGTGGACCCCATTTTGAGTATCGATCTGCAGAATTACCGCGCCCCTTTTGACAAGTGCGAGAACATAGAGTCAAAGCCGGAGGTAACGGACGTCATGGTCGATGCCGGACTATTTAACGCGATGTCTGAGCACAAGATATGTGGCAGGAACAATACTGGTACCCTAATGTGCCGCGACTTGAGGGTGCGCAACCCGCAGTGTTTCGAGTTCGTATCTGGGTTGGAAACTCACCCGAAGGGTCTTCTTACCTTATGGAGCACGCTTGATAGAATCTTTCGTTTAACAGGCGACGAAAAATGTCTTATTCGTTGCGATAATATCCACACGCTTAACATGCAACGATTAATTGATACTGCCGAAAGACGGGCCAAACTTACCCGTAGTCGTGCCAGACATCGCTACCGAAGCAAGCGAGGATTAAACCAAGAGTTCCAGCCAGCAGACACCAATTTGACTCAGACTACCAATTTGACTCAGACTACCAATTTGACTCAGACTACCAATTTGACTACCAATTTGACTCAGACCACCAACTCGCCGATCGACGCACGTGAGATAGTTGACGAGTTGATAACGGAGGGTATCAAGGAGATAGTGGAGACCATTAATGAAGAATTGAGCACGATTACTTCGGAGGCAGTTACGATGGAGGAGACGACTACAGTCAGTGGTGCTCTACCTGTTGGCGAGTACGTAGACTTTGCTAGATTAAATAGGAAGGGTTTGTTCGTGGATCCCCAGACGGGAGATGACTTACAAAATTACCGAGCATCTCGTAGCAAGTGCGTGGACATGGATTCGTACCCCGAACCTACAGATATCGTTATCAGCGGCCCGGAACTCGACACATGGCGTTTCAATAATATCTGTGACACGGACGGTGCCACATTGATGTGTCGCGACCTTCAAGTTCGCAACGCTCAATGTTTCGAATTCGCCCCCGGTGACGACAAAAATCGGCCTCGTCTACAGCCTTTGTTGGGAATGATTAATCGAATCTTTAATCTCACTGGCAATGAAGAGTGTGTGGTTCGCTGTGACCAACCGGAAACAAACATGGAGAGCCTACTTTTTAGGGCCGCCCCTCGCGTCGGCCAGCTCTACGACCGTTCGGGTCTCGGTGATGCTCATACCTTGGAAGGGCGCCAACGCTTCGAGAGTGCAATAAAACACAGCTTCTCGTCCATCACCGACAAGAAACAACTTAAGCGCCTCTGGTTCGAAACTCCTTGCGGAACGGGTACTTGGAAGACGCAGGATAAATACCCCGATTGCGTGTGTCCAAAACTGAGTGTTACTTGCGAACTGCAAGATGCTGAAGGCGAGAGACTCGATGCTAGCTTCGACATCAAATACGACGACTCCTCTAGGATGGAGCGAGGACGAGAATTCACAGAGCAAATTAAGCCGATACTTGACTCTCCAGGTATGGACATCAAACGCTGCCTCTACCAGTGTCTCACTCAGGTCCTTTTTGATTGAGCTTTTTTCGAAATCGTAACACACCCGGCTGGCATCGAACCGGAGACCTTAAGGTCTAAACCAGTTGCTATGTCCCGCCCGCCGCCGACATAGACCGACACGAGAACGTCCTTACGCAGGTTTTCTGGTGTGTGAAATCTGTCACCAGGCACATTCTACCAGCAGCGCGTCGTCCTATGAGGCAGGCGCAGAGGCGGCGCTCCGTATCCGGAACCCGACAGAGGTCTACGACGGAGCCTGATCGCAGACCCTGCCGGGTCGGCATGACCGGTCCTGTCCGGTCGACATTGACAACAACAACAAGTACCGGGTGCACGTGAAGGAAGTACTGGCCGCGTTGACAAAATCGTCATTCAGGAACCCTCTTTGCGATTCATTCGCGGTAATGTTCCTAAGAGTCCTGAAACCTCCATTTCACGATGTCCATTTCACGATGTCCATTTCACGATGTGCCTGGAGCTTCCATGGAGCGTGTTACATACAGGGCACCCACCCCCATCCCTCACGGGTCACTCCCGAGCACTACTGACCTCCCACAGAGCGCCTTACTCCCCCAAGAACTAAAATCCGAACGTTCAGTGCTCCGCTCATTAATCCATTCCCACGCCCCGCAGGTGTGTGACAGATGTGTGCGGATGCTTAGCGGATTACTATCTGTCTTCTTGTCTGTCACATCTTGGCGAAGTAACCGTCATAAAAGCAATGGCGGTTACTAAAGAACTAAAACCCTCACGGCCCGTGCACGTCCCCTACTCTGCTGTCTTCCTCAGGGTGCAGTTCAGGACCGCCTGCTCTTGCACAAACTACTGACATGCACACATTCCTTATCCACCACACACCATCTCCACATATCTGATCGGACAGCCAACAGCATCAACTACGAGGGACTTCATCCTCGCGACACCGTCCGCCACAGTTTCTCTTCAATTCGCGTCTCTGCACAGCGGATATCCAATAGCTGTCATCGTCTTGGGTCTCTACACAGCAATGACTTGACGCCGTCGGTCCTTTCGCTTCTGTCCTTTTGCCTGTTGGCTCGTCTTCACCCGTGCCGCTCTCCCTCTTGACCCGCACAACCTGGGACCCGCACAACCTGGGCCCGCACTCTACTCCAACACAGTGATTCGCGTGGGGCATATGCCCCTATCATCGACATCTCTTGCTCGACGAGAAATGTGTTCTACGACTTGCTTCAAATTATTCATTTTTAAGTCGTCAACATTTTGGTATAGGTAGCAAATCCCATAATTCTCACAAATGACGCCCGACGGCTGCAAGGCTTGGTTACCCGAAGTGGCTATCTCGGATGGGACAGCATCAGCGGCGATAACGGTTGGGCTGGTAGAGCCGAACAGACTGGTTTTTTTTAAGATGAAAACGAACGTGTGCGGAGAGTCGAATGGCCTGAAGCTAAGTGGGCTGGTGTCTGTGTTGTACACAGACGGTGGTGAGCAGACGAGTCTTGAGGGCTGCACCGCGAAGGTGGCTGTGATTGACGGCCTTGAGAGCGACCAG